TTTTTCTCTCCAGCCCCACTGCAGTTATCCTAGCAGAGAGCCTGGAGCCAAGGTTGCCGGCTTAGGCAATCAGCCTTTCAAAGGCCTTGTCACCCCAGCTGTGTCTGGTTCCAGAGCTTCAGGTTTCAGATTCCTCTTCATTTGTACCATCAATAATAATCTATTACTCCTAGGATGCCAATTCTCCCAACTGCGCTATCGGTTCCTGAACTTCATCATCCTAAACTTCATCCTAAAGTTCAGGTGGCAAAGAGGAAAATTACAGAAAGCTCTGGCATGGAATCATCGTTCCACGTGTTCCTCCGTCAGCTCTTGGGCACCGTCTCTATAGGTCAAAACTCTATGTAGCCATAAGAACTCCAAATGCCAAGTCTCTTCATGAAATCTTTCCTGATCTGTCTCAATCAGACATGATTTCTCCTCAATTTGAGCCCCCATGAAACGCGTCTAATCCAGCTGCAGCATAGTTCAGTTCAAGGGTATTATACTCAAGAATTCTTAGATTCAATTCCATCCACACTCCTTACGAACACTGTGACTTTGTGTGAGTTGCTTAACCTTTCTGAAGCAAGGTTCCTTATTTATAAAATTTTCTTTGCAGGGAGGATTAGATATAATGTATGTAAAGTATCTAATTCAGTGTCTAATACATATTAGATTTGTGATAAACAGTAGCTATTATTTTACTTTTTTTATGGGCCAGATCACATTTTGCCTTACACTATGGTTTTTTAAAGACTTCCTGAGTACACTTTTTTTTTTTTGTAAGGAAGATCTGCCCTGAGCTAACATCTGCCAATCCTCCTCTTTTTTTTTTTTTTTTTTGCTGAAGAAGACTGGCCCTGGGCTAACATCCATGCCCATCTTCCTCCACTTTATATGGGACGCCGACACAGCATGGTGTGCCAAGTGGTGCGTCAGTGCGTGCCCGGGATCTGAACCGGCGAACCCCGGGCTGGGCCGCCGCAGCAGAGCGCTGGCACTTAACCGCTTGCGCCACTGGGTCGGCCCCTGAGGACACTTTTTATATGACAAATTCCATTAAGATGTGAACTGCAGCTTGTTGATTTTTTAATATTCTGAAGTAAAGATGTGTGCATTTGATGCATTCATTCACAAATATTTTATTATTTAAATTAAAGAATATGACCTCGCTATATTTATTTTGACTCATATATCAGTAACATTTTTCTAGATTGTGGGCAAGGTGGTATACATATGAACTTCACATAGATGACATCCAAAATACACCTGAATAATTTAAGGTATATGCTGTAGGATGATACTTATTCTGTGCAGATTGCTGCCAGAGAGGAAAGGATTAAAACCAAGTTGGGGTGATGGAAATGATTTTTCTACAGGGAGCTGTCCCCCCATTCAACTGTCATACCAGCTGCCACTGGCTCTGTCCTTACAGCCTCTCAGTGAAACACAGCCTGGGTGTGCATAGATAAAAAAGAGAACCCAGAAAGGAATGGTGGGGTTTATGCTCTATTCTCCAAATACATGAATTCATCACTCCCACATCATGTAAAAGTCAGGAAGCTAATAACGTAGCAAACTACTTGATCTTAGATTAATAATGTTCCTGTGTAGGGGTCGCCCGGTGGCATAGCGATTAAGTGCGCGCACTCCGCCTCAGTGGCCTGGGGTTCGCAGGTTCGGATCCCGGGCGCCCACCGATGCACCGCTTGTCAAGCCATGCTTTGGTGGCGGCCCATATAAAGTAGAGGAAGACGGGCACAGATGTTAGCCCAGGGCCAATCTTCCTCGGCAAAAAGAGGAGGATTGGCATCGGATGTTAGCTCAGGGCTGATCTTCCTCACCAAAAAAAAAAAAAAAGATTTACCTGGGTAATATAACTTTGCCAAAGGGGACCTCTATATTGATCTATAGATAAGTGCTTTCCCCACAGTTTCAATAATAGAAAATAAATGAATCAGTGAAAGGTATGTGCTTAAAAATTTAAGAAAAATTGTTTTAAAAGAGATCTTAGCTGGAAAACACGTGTGAAAAGGTATTTATGAAATTCAATATTGTGGGGCTATATTCTACGGACCTAACAAAAAATGATTAGTTCCAATGTGACTTACTTTCTAATAACAGTTTCTTATTCGTTTGTTGCACAATTCTTGTTTTTCAGGAAGATAGCTGGCTAAACATCATCTTTGCTTTGTGGAAAATGACATTTAAATTTGATTCTAGTCAACAATTTAAGACCTTGAATTTTTTTTTTTTCCCCTGAGCTAACACCCATTGCCAATCTTCCTCTTTTTGCTGAGGAAGATGGGCCCTGGGCTAACATCCGTGCCCATCTTCCTCTACTTATATGGGACGCTGCCACAGAATGGCTTGACAAGCAGTATGTCTGTCTGTGCCTGGGATCCGAACCTACAAACCCTGGCCCACAGAAGCAGAGCACGCGAACTTAATCGCTACACCACCGGGCGGCCCCAAGACCTTGAATTTTAATAAGCTGAATAACTTTCTCTGGTAAAGTAAGGATTCAGTTCTAGGTACAATACAAGCAACCTGGGTAATATACATTTGTCAATACATCTACCACACATTTTTCTATTCATCCAATTCAGACAATATATAAACAAGAAAAAGAGAATAGGAGTGATGATATCCTAATTACAATGCTATAATCCAGAAATGCCTACCTATAATTCTGAATTATTTTGTCCTAAAACTGCCAATGCACACACAACATAGTATACATTCTAAAATCTGTACTTTAAAGAGTTTAACTTTTATTGCAAATGTAAAAGAATAGCCAAAATACTAGGGAAATCTTTGATGGAGTATGTGGCTATTCCAAAAACCGTACCTCAGCTGTATGGGCAATCTTCTTAAGCCTCTAGAAAAATGCAGTGAAAACTAATATAATGACTGAGTCAACTTGCACACATTGGAATGAAAGGATAAAGTTTAGAATTTGAGTTCTTTTCAACTCTATTCTGTAAAATTTTAAATTGTATCTACAAATAGTTTGATGGGTATAAATACTTTTTCTAGCCAATTCTGTATAAATACATATTTTAATTTTAAACCTGGCATCAATGGCGTGTGTTTGACTATGTGTTAATCTTTACAAACTTTGTTAAAATTAGTTTTTAAAAAAAATCATAATCCTGTTTAACACTTCCAAAGGTATATTATCATATGCCTTCACTGCAATGAGAAATCTAAGAAAAAACCTTGAAATGTATGACGGGCAGTGGAGCTGTTCTCTCTTATTAGTCGCCTCATTTCTTCAGTAAAGCCCAACTACCAACTTCCTTTGCTTTACTCTAACACTGAGCTGAAAGTCTATATATACTCAGGCCGCCAGTTCGGGGAAGCCCTTCGTGACCAATCAGGGCTTCCCGATCTATTGCGTCACACCTCCCCCCTGGGTGTGACGTCAAAGGCAATCCCAGGCCAGCCACGTGGGTTGAAGGAGTGTAGCGTTTCTAGGCAGCTGTTCGGGAGACACCCAGCAGCAACGGTCCTCAAGGGTGGGGAACTGGGCAGGGAGGGGCCGACAGGGTTGCTACACGCACCGTCTGGGAACACGACTGTAGCAGAACGCTCACCCCGGAGGCGCGCGGGGTCGGTGAGTCCAAGTACTCAGCGCGGGCCTTTAGGGGATGGAGGGAGTGGCGCAGGGGAAGCTGGCACCTAAGGCTATGTAATAGGACCCGGGTCTTGTAAACCCTCCTCCCCAGGCACCGCCTCTCCGCTCCCAGCCCCTCTTTCCAGCCTTAATTATCCTTTCAGCGCCTTTTCCCCTCGGCTGCATTTCCTTGGCCAGAGGAAAAAGCCTCTCTCGCCTCCCCGTTCTCGCCCTCACACAGACCCTCCTTTCAGACCCGCCCTCCTGGTCACAGGGACCCATTTCGGAGCCCTGGCTCATGCTGGGCGGGAACCAGCGTGACGAATTCCGCCCAAGGTGTTGATTATCCATCCCAACCCAGCCTCTGGCTCGCCTCCCACCTTCACCCCGGTTCCCGCGAGCCCCCACTCCCACCCCCGGGCTGGGCGCTCGGGACGGCACCCCCAAATCCCCCACCCAGCCGTGCCCGCGCTGCAGCTGCGGCAAGGAGCGCCAGCGTGCTCGGTGCCACGTCGGAATTGGCTCCAGGGTCGCTGCAGCTGCCGGCGCGCAGCGCGCGGTCCCCACGCACGCCCTGCCCCCGGGCGGCGAGGGCGGGCGGGCAGCGAAGAGGAGGGATGCGCGCCCTCCTCCCGCTGGGGTCTGCGAGTGTCACTGCCTGCGTTACGGACCCCTGGCCCGAGTAAGGCCTCCAGAGCCTGGCTGAGCCCGGACAGAGCCAGCCTGACACTTTAATAGGGTGCAGGGAGTGCAAAGGAGGGGAGGCCGGGGAAAGAGGGGGAGTGGCCGAGCGAGGCCGGTAGCTGCGAGGAGGTGGCGAAGGACCCTCCTTCTCTGGGGTCCTAGCTCTCCGGAGCTGGGAGCCTGGCTCGCTTTAACCCTTTGTCTTCCAAGTAAGAAGCGGGCTTCCCACTTAGAAGTAAAACGCGCTGGGCTGTTCTAGGGCTTTCCCCCCTCCGTAGAGCGTATGGGAAAAAAGAAGGGAAGGGATGGGAAGGCAGAGGGGATGGGGGCGGCTGTGCGAAATGCATTTTCCCTGCACAGTAGAAATTCTTGTTTCCTAACTCTGGAGCCCTCTGCGGCTCCGGAAGATGCAGAATGGAAAAGTACATTCTGGGACGTGCAGTCTTTCCCAGGCAGAGAGGTTACCTGTTTTCGCAGAAAGGTAGCGGATTTCTGGAGAGCGCCGCAGGGATGGGAAAAGAGAGAAATACGTTGCTAAGCCTGACAGTGATCTGAAATAGCCCCTGATTTTGTCTGTTGGAAATTTTCAGACCTCAAACTTTTCTGTCGAAAACTGACTTAAAAATTTTTTAACACTTATGTGGATAATTTCTTCCCTCTCCCTGGCCTATTCGAGGAACCTCATCGTTCACCAGATCGCGCCAATGTAACGTACCTTGTTCAGCTCTTGGTCATAAAGTTGTCCTCAGCCTGTCTGTGTGGTCCCGGAGGGTCGGTGGCGGGCAGTTTGCAAAATTGAGGTAATGAGAGATCAGATGAATTTGAGACGACCGGCCAAAAAAAATAAAAAATTTAAAAACAACATTTAAAAAGGGTGGGGGAGTCTTAAATGTTTGATTCTCCCCCACTTTAAAAGGAAATTTCACTACTATTCTTTTTAAGATTTCCGTTGCACAGCAGCCTTCTAATTCTTAAAAGGAAAATTTATGCTTTAAAAATAAATTAACTTTATTTTTTTTCTTTGCTCCAGTCCCCCTCCCCTGATAGCGGAAAGTCTCTTCTCTTTTTCGTATCAAAGAAAGACCGGTGAAGACTCTGCAGAAGCCAGGGAGCGCAGAATCGGGAGAAAGTCTTTGGCTGGGGCTGGTTCAAGTCCCTGGTTCAATGGGCTGCTGGAAGCCAGGACTGGGTAATTCTTTCCAGACGTCTTGACTTCTCCTTCCTCGCTGTTGTTGCCTTTCTGCCTCCTCCAACTTAAGGGGGTCTTAACAAGTGAGCTGGTGGGTGTTTTAATAGGGCGGAGGAGGGAGTGGGGGGTGAGGGGAGTGGAGAAGGGAGGTACGGACCGGGGAACCCGGAGGGGAGGGGACTGGGAGCGGGGGGTGGGGGCGGGAGGCGGGGAGGGGGAGAGGGAGAGAGAGAAATTGGCCATTCAAAGCCCTGTCTGAGCTAGAGGCCGGTTCTGAACGCCAATGAATTCAATTAACTTGATTGCTAACGTGTGCAGAGAAATGCCGTGCACACAGGCTGGCCACCACCTGATTCCCTCCTTTCCTCCAGCGGTGGAGTCCGGCGGCCACGCTGTGTGGACATCCTGAACTCTCGTCAGAGTTGCAAGGATTCCCTCTTCGCGATAAATTCTCCGCACTGTTGAAGTAATTTGCTTTAAGCCCAAACGGTGCCCTTAGGCTAAGTAACCGCCGTGGGGAGAGAAAGCTGGGCGGTGTGTGTGTGTGTGTGTGTCTACACCTGGAACCTCCGAAAGCCGGCTGCGCCTCTAAAAAGTCTAAAAAGTCGGCGACTGGTCTACCACTTGTTAACCCTTTCTTCCCGCCAACTCAAAAGTTTCCGAGCTGATGTTAAGTGTCAACGTCTCCCTTACACAGAAGTTTCCACCCTAGTCCCCTAACGTAAAAATATGCAAACAGCGCGCATTATAAATAAAATATAAAATAAAAATAGTTCTCTGGAGGACTCGAAAATAGCACCCTTAAAAGAGCCATTTCTAAGGGAATGGCTTAAATGGCTTTTGCTTCTTGCGAGCCTTCTAAGATAACGAGTCAAAATACTTATTTTTGCTTCGAGATGGCCTTTTCTCATCTTTCTTCCAATGCCCCAAGGCTGGAAAGAGTTAGTTTTTTCAGTTACTTTTTTTTTCCCTTTATTTCTCTTTGGTCCTCTCCAACAAGCCTCGTGATGACTTAAAATGGACAGTAGATGGCACTGTTTAGGAAAAAATGAGTGAGTTCGTAAATTAACTAATTTGGTTTTTGGAAGATTCCGCTGAAATTATTATAGGGTAAAAAAGGTTTCTTTTTTCTTTCTTTTTTTCTTTCCCTTCCGAGGTTCCTCTGAGGTTGGACTTCTTTCGAACTCGATAGGCTTTGAAAACTGGGTTCATGCTCCTTGTTATATATTTTGGACAATAATGAACAGGTCAAAACAGAAAAGTCGAGTAAACTGGAAGCGATGCTTTTCAGCACGTCGCGCAGGGTGTAGTGTTGGGGGATGTGATTTGAGGTCAAGAATTTTATTGCAAATATCAGGTAGTCAGCCAACCCAGTCCCCGGGGGCCGACCTGCAAAGTACTACGCGTTTCCGCCCCACCCCGGCACACGGTGGTTACACCTCTGGGAAGTATTACCTTGCCTGATGACTTCACACCCCTCCTGGGAAACCCGCTTACTAATTTTCCCCTATAAAGCTTCAGGGCTTCAGCCTTTGTTTGAACCTTGCCTTAGGTGGTTCAGCTCTTGAGAAACTGGCTTAAATTTCGGAGCACAATTTCTTCCCACTTAGACTCCTCCTTCTCGAGTTTTAGTTGTATGGTAGTTTTTAAATGCTAAGTTATAATTTAAAATATATTATCTAGCTTATGTACTCTTACGTATAATGTGGATTTAACTGATTTAGGGGTAGGGTGGAAATTGTGAGTGTCACATGCCTAGCCGTGGGACCCCATGGGGACACTTAACCTCAGCTCCAAACTTCCAAACTTCCATGAATATTATATGTAATGCAGGATTGCTGATTATTGCTTAGTAGCACTTCTGTTCCTATGCTAATAGTTCAAGCAATGAGAACATTTAGTAAAACTGGGTTTCTTTATTAATCAAAAACACATCTGTTGTTTGTTCCCTTGAACTTGTAATTCATGGCCCATAAAGCAAAAGTAAAGTGTTCCTTGACTGTGAATGAATATAAAAGCTAATTACACATCCATGCATTTCTGTGAGTTTCTCCTCAACCCCCCAAGAGAATAAGGAAGAGCCTAGAAGTGAAAGTTTAAATTTAAAGCCAGAGGTGAAAGTTCCTTGAAAGCAGAATATTATCTATCAGATTTTCTTAGGGAGGGGATCCAGAATAAGAGAGACCTTAAATTCAAATCCCACCTTTGATGTGGGATTGTGTGGTGTGAGATCTGTTTGTGTGATCCTGGAAGTATATTTCACCTCTCTAGACCTTTATTTCCTGATAAATGGAGAAAATACCTGCCTTACAGAGTTGTTATGGTAATAGAATGTGTTAAATTACATTGAGAGATTAGTATAGTGCCTAAGCTCTACTCTTAGGTAGAGCTTCCTAATGTAACACAATGGTTCCTAATAGAACGACTGTGGGTATTCAAAAAACGTTAGCACCCTTCTCCTGGTTTTCTATTTTTTGTATTATTCGTGATAAGTATTAACTAAGGTTTCATCCTGTGCTCACTTATGTGACCTACTCCAGCTTTCTACTGTCCCCTCACTGACTTTCATGGATCGAATTATTCTTTGTGCTCAAGAATACACCCCAAACCTTCACATTTAACCAAAATTCCTTTCTGAGTCCCAGGCCTGAATTATGGCTACCAGCCATCTAGTATTGATTAGTAAGCAACAAATTAGGAGACCTGAGATCCAGTTTCTCAAACAAGCTATAGCACCAACTAAATTGAATCATTTGACTATAAATTTAAATTTTAACTTTCTATTTTAAACGTGAGCTGTTTGTATCAGAAGATGACAGATGTTTCAGGTTTTGACATCCTAAGACATACCTTATCCAACCTACATCTGTTATGTTTTCAACTAGACAAGGCAACATAGCAAAGAACTTCAGAGGTAGGAGTTTGACCTGTCAATGTGAGCCTGCAGTGTGTTGTTTGTGACTTCCCTCCCACAACACAAAGCAAGTGTTCGTATGTCTGAGAGACCAAGTTTCCAGAACAAGGATTTAATACCTTCATACTTCTCTGTATAAATGGTTCTCAAACTTTTTGGTGTGAAGGATCTCTATATACTCTTAAAACTTACTGAGGACTTCAAAAAACTTGTTTATATGGGTTATACCTATCAATATACCACATTAGGTATAAAATCAGACTGAAACATTTTTAAAATATTGATTAATTCATTTAAAATAATAGTAAACACAATGACTTGTCAATTTAACGTTTTTGTGAAATGTGGCGTTGTTTTCCATTTTCGCAAATCTCTACTATCTGGCTTAATAGAAGACAGCTGGATTCTCATATCTGCTACATCATTCAATTGCTGTTTTGACTGAAGTATTTAAAAAAAATCTGGCTTCAGACAGATATGTAATTGGGAAATGGAGAAGTATTTTAATAGTCTTTTTAGATATTCTTCTGTGATACTATGTAAAAACTTGACAAATAATTTTTTAAAGGTAAGTTGTAATGGGGAATCTAAAACAATAGGAATGAACTTTTCGTACTCTGTTACTTAAAGTCTGTTGGTTTATCTTATACTTTAAATGCATCTTTTACAACCATTCATGAATTTGTAATGTCATGTATCATTTGTATTGATCATTGAGTTATGCAGATTTTCCAAATGTTGATATATTTCATTTAAAAAAAATCACGATCTTTAAAATCACCATCAATCTCATCCAAAAAGTCTTCAAATATTGGGAAGCTGTCACAGTCATGGTGCCAAATAAAGTTTTCCAAAATTCTAATTGTCTCTTGAAAGCTCAGATATTTTCAGTAGCAACAAATACTGTCAGTTGTTGATACTGTAGTGACAAGTTCACTTCTCTCATTTTTCAGAAAAATAAACTGTCTTCCCAATAGCCAAGCCTGAATAACAATAGTTTGTCTGTCAGTTGTTCTTTTAAGTAAAAATGATATTCCATGATAAAAGTGGCCAGCTCAGCTTACAACTCAATCACATCAAAGCTTTTCCTCCAGACAGCCATGGTAGCTGGGTGACAGCAAGCTGTGGACTTTCCATTTCTTAACACAAAATATTAAAAAGATGTATACTTAAGGGTTGACGTTTAATGAAATTAATCATTTTTACTGCTTTATCAAGGACTTTCTTAAATGAAATTTGCTTTTTCTTTCCCTGTGAGTACATGGGGGTAAAGAATACAAAGACTGATGGTACTTATACAAAGTTTGATGCCACTGCCTTGTTTCATGCTAAGGTACTAGCAGCTTTATTCACCATTATTTTTGCAACATCAGGGTAAATGTCAACAAAATGAAAGATGCAAATAATTTCTAGAATTATTATAAAAATAGTGTTGATCTTGCTAATCCCTTGAAAGGGTCTTGGGGTCCCCAAGGGTCTACAGGCCACACTTTGGAAGGAACTGGGTTATATTAGGCATACCAAATGTAGCAGTACAAATCTGGGTATTTTACTTTAAGAAGGACATCCACAAACTATTGCACATTGAGGAGAAATCTAGCAGTGAGAAGAGGAAAATCAATAGTAATCCTGTCATATGAATTGTGACTATAGGAAATAGAAAAGCTTAGAATGACAGAGAAGATTCAGAGAACCTGGCAGACACTGGAAACCTTCTACAGGGCTTGCATATACACGTGTTAATTCCAAGGCTGACCTCTTGAGGCTCGAAGATTAATTCAGACAAAACTGTGAAGAGGTTATGGCTATGTTTATCACTAAATTTGGAGATGTGACTAGAGGGAAATATTGAAGCATCTCTCAGACACCCAAGACATTAGAATGAACAGATTGGAAGAGATCAAAATACTTACTGATTCACTGATATAGGTAGAAGAGGATAATGTTATTTCTCATCATAGTTTTTGAAGATCTCACTATATCAGAAAGTAGTAATTTATCAGTTGTTGATCATTTTAAATTAGATTCTGAATATAATTAGAGTTATGCTTTAAGGATTACCCAAATGAAAGGGACAAAAATCCCTTTCCTCATCAAACACTTTCTTTATAACCATATTTCAATATCCCTGTCCACAGGTGAGGAAACTAGCTTTAAA